AAATTCGAAGAATTCGTCGACTAACACCTCAAACCAGACCTCGTTTGCGCCTTTGCTCAACGGTACCGTTTCATAGACCCTCTCCCAACTACTTAATTGAAAACCATTTTCTGGGGTTTTCTTTGCTGACATTACCAAGCTACAATTGCAGCAAATTCAATTTCTCATCAAATTAAATTGTTTTGTTTTTTTTTTCCTATCCGAATGTGATTTTTTTTTTTTAATTCGGCAATCCAGATATGCAATCCCATTTGGTGATTTTTGGTTGTTGAGGGTGCTTTCTTGACTTTTATTTAAATTAAAACTCGGATTTGCAGAAGAACATATAGAATTTGGGGAAAAATAGTGTGACCAGTCTTAGGACTTTGGTTAATCTTGGCTCTGAAGTTCGTGTAAGAGTATAACTTGAACTCATTAAATCATTCAATGTTCTTGTTTTACGACTATGGCTGAAGAAGATGTGGCATATGGACCTGAAAGTTGTAGACTATGTTGTCCTTTGATCTTGAAAAATTGTAGTTGTACACCCATGAATAATCACTACATTGTTCTTTATTTTAACACACACGGGGTGATTAGATGATCATCATATTAAGATGCTTGTAAAAAGGTTAGAGATCGAAACAAATAATTCTCATAGTCATGCCGAATGTTAGCTTGTTTATATAGGGGTTTCACATTCTTTTTGTTTGCTGCACCACCTATGATGTAACATGCCTTTTCAAAAGGAAGAGAAACCTATATATGCAAAGTTGCAAACAAAATTGCAACTTCGTCTGCTAAGGTATAGCCTTCAACCAAATTGATGACTCTCTGGATCTAAAATGTTTTTCTTTAGGTCTCATGTATTTTCTAACTAGTTTAGTCTTGTTAAGGGATCCTAAATCTTATCCTTTTTATATTTTTTTATATTATTCAAAAATTCAATGTTTTTATATTAAGGGGTCTGAAATAGTTAGTTTTAGAAATATTGTACTCGTATTCAGTTTCATAAATAGTGTATCCGTGTTCAATTTCATAAAGTCAGTTTCAGAAATAGTGTATCCGTGTTCAGTTTCATAAATAGTGTACTCGTGTTTAGTTTCATAAATAATGTACCTATGTTTAGTTTCATAAAGTCAGTTTCATACATAGTGTATCCGTTTACAATTTCGTAAATAGTACACCCGTGTTCTGTTTCATAAAGTCAGTTTCATAAATAGTGTACCCGTGTTCAGTTTCATAAATAATCTACCCGTTTTCAGTTTCATAAATAGTGTACTCATGTTAATTTCATAAATAGTGTACTCGTGTTTAGTTTCAGAAATGGTGTACTCATGTTCAATTTCATAAATAGTGTACCCGTGTTCAGTTTCATATATAGTTTACCCATGGTAGTTTCATAAATAGTCAGTTTTAAAAATAGTGTACTCGTGTTGAGTTTTATAAATAGTTTAGTACCCATGTTTAGTTTTAGAAATAGTCAGTTTAATTAAACAGTCAGTGTTCATTTTAAAAATAGTGGTAGTACTAGTTTCAGTTTGAGGTATTGATAGTACTCCTGTTCAATTCGAGAAATAGATATGTTCAGTTTAAGAAATAGTGATAGTACCAGTATTCAATATATTGTTTAGTTTTAAAAATAATCAGTGTTCAGTTTAAGAAATATTAATAGTATTTGTGTTGAGTTCCAAAATAGTCAGTGTTCAATTTCTAAAAATTATTGGTGTCCAATTGATTCAAGGTGGACTTTAGTGAACCACTAATATGACACGTGAACCAACGGGTACAACTTCAACTTTTAGAAGCATATGCATGAATGTATTACCTATGGTTGGTCTAAGAAAAGAATGAATTATCCCCACCGTTTCTTCAGAGATTGGTCACTTCCTCCTCTTAATAGATGTTGACAATGCACAAATATTTATACTTTCATATTTGGCCAAGAAACACCAAACTATCGACTTGATAATCTTTGGTTTTGCTTACAGATGTTGTGCATCCAAGATTTACATTTATATGGTTAATGGTGTATGATTAAACCTAAGAAGAAAAAGTCCACAAGAACTCTGTATTGGAAAGCGAACTAGATAGCATTTGATATTTCTGCACGTCTTTTATCTTGTTTATTAAGTTTAATGGGCCTAATTTATTGGTACTCTCATTTCCTTCCACATGTTCCTTCCACATGTCTCAGAAAAAGCCCAAGCCACGAGTCTAGAGCAATTTTGCTTTCAAAGCAAGAACTTTGTTTTCTTCGCCAATCTAAAACCACAAATTGAGTGAAATCCTCTTCCCTCGACGAAATGCTCCATTTCTTCGCGCGATCAAATGCTCCATTTCTTCCCATGATCAAATGCTCCATTTCTTCCACTATAGAACCAAAACGTAGCACAGAGCACCAAAGCAGAGGGGCGAAATTCGAGTTTTGGGAAAGATTTCCTGCGGCCGCAGCCTGTAGCATGAATAGTCAGCCACCGTGTTTTCCAGTTTCCAGCAGAACCAGAGGGGCTTAGGACTCACTCCTGGACTTATTTTTTGGCAAGCAAAGGGGCGGCCCCCTCCCTCCTACATAGCTCCACCACTGTTTGCCATACCATAGTTTCCATTCTTAAAACAGACATATGTTATTTCTCCATCAAGAACAACTCTACGTCATTTCTACCAGGATCGATGATAATTGTCAGCATCGCATTTTTAAAAACTTATTTTTAGGTTCGTACCTTTGTTTCTCCAATTTGGACTCTGCAAATATATATCTCGAATTTTTTCAGTTTTTCGTCTTCATTTGCAATTTTTGGGTTGAGGAATTTCGGATTTGATGTGTAGATTATTGTTTGAAAACTTGAATCAAAGTTGAAATTGGTTTGAGAACTTGAGGTTTCGAGCAATGGAGGCTTCGATTTTGTGGTGCAGTTTGAAGGGGTAGGTATGCTATTGGTAATGGTGTTGGAGGGATGAGTGATTTTGGGATTGTAACCGTTAGTTTGGCTAACGGGCTGGGGTTAGGTTTCGTTAGGGGCAATTTTGGAATATTAATTGTTATCCAGTTTGGGCTTTTTGTTGAGCCTGTGTTTTAGTTTTTGTAGGACCAAAAAGATAAGTTTTGTGTCCTTATGATTAAAACTTAAATTTTTTTTATTAAATAATAATTTAGGATGATTTTTCATTAAATAAAAGTTATTCCAAACCTTTTTTTGTTAATGCTCCCTTTTTTTTTATACCAACAACATTTTACAACCAGGAGTTGTGGCTTTCACACAATAGGCTTGTCATAATATTATATCATAAAAATAATTTTAAGTATTTATAAAATTGTTCCTTGGAGCTGAGGATGCATGTTAACATGGTTTGATCATCATCCCCACTGGTGGAGCCACATCAAAGGCTATGATGGGCTATAGGTCATAGAGATTTTGTGGCAATATATGTATATATATATATATACACACACACACACACGTTAATGTATAGCCTAATATAATAGACAAAATAAATGCAAGAAGAATTATTTTTTATTGAAACTAGTCTGGTGAGTATTTAGCACAACTAAAAATATAGAAGTTATTAAGGAAATTGTGATGTCATTTTGTTCAAGATTATCCTGCTTTGATTATGTGGACATTATATTATTTTGAGTCAAGTATTTTTAAGATTGCCTTTACTTCTACTTTCATTGGTTTGTTGTGTGCTAGTTGTGTGGTTGTAGTTGAGATAGTCCGTGTATTAAGTTTTCTATTTTCTTCTTGTGTTTAGATCTAAGTATATGTGAAACTGGATGATTTATTGCAATTTGTTATCGCAAAGCTTTATTAGTTAATGCCAAACAAATTTTAAAGTAAATAAATACCAAAGTTAAACTTAAATTTTTGCATAAAATATGTATGTAGCAAAAAAAAAAATTATAATTTGATTTTACGGTAATTTTTTTAGCTAGCCCACCCATAAAAAATTTCTGGCTCCGCCCTTGTTCATCCCATCCTAATGAGGAGATCATAATTTTTAACTGACCAACTTATCAATTGAGCCATGCTTGCTTGTCTATTTCTCTGGTTAGAATCTGTTCTCAAATTTCAGCAAGTCCAATTAGAGAATGAGCCAGTTTTTCCAAATTTCCACCTGTTACGGAGGAATCACTCTCAAATCCATTGCAGCTTCTAATTTGGACCTGTACAACACTTCAGCTCCTTGGGCCGAACGAACCCACGGGTGACATTAGTCTTCCACCACAGCTCGGTGTGGTATCCGTGTTTGTCCCACGACTCTACGGAGCCTCCGATGCCGAACAAAATTTATGACATATTTGCCTTTTCGTGATCGTGATCGTGGACGGAGACGGCCCTTTGGTTAAAGTTGGTGACTGTGTTGGGGTGTGTAGGGAAATTATGAGAGTGGTTTGAGAAGGTGAAGTAGAGGATAAGAGAGAGATAAGCGACGGAGCAAAGAGCAAGGCTTGTTTTCACGGTGAGAGAGAAGACATCAATGTCTCTGATTGTGGGGGAGGCTAGGAGTTTCCAGAAATTAAAAGGGTGATTGTTCAATGGTTTTTTATCTTTTACAAGACATTATTCATGAGAAAATGGTTTTCCAGGAAAATGGAAATTATAAGGAATTCAGTCTATGCCTAGGAATTTGTTGAAGATTTGAAATTTATCGGAAGGTTTGGAAAGTGAGAGAACACGTATAGCAAGCGGGTACTAGCTAGTTTAACGAATAATTAAACGTCTCCTCTCTTAATTGACGGATTGGTGAAATTTTTTATTATGTTCGAAACATGTGTAGTATGTCATATGTCATTATATGGGTGGGAAAAAGTTTTATTTTCTAAGTTGTTAATTTTTTAACACAAGTAACTCACTACTTGTATAGTAGCACATGATATACCATCCGTATTCTGGACACATTAAAAAGTTTCACAACATATTGGCAGTGCTTTCAATTTAATCGCTATTGACTCTTTGGTCATTTTTTGTTTATTATCAAAAGTTGACTATTATGTTTACAAATAATGCTAGGTTTGATCAATTTTTTAGATTAAATTTGTAAATCATGTTCCTGAAATTTTATTTTTATTTTCTTTTTCTTCCATCGCCCTTCTGTCTCTTCCCTCTCGCTCAATCCTTTTTGGTTTATCTACTCTTCAGCTCTGAATCGCTCATCTCCTCTGATCTTACCATACTTTTAATTTTCGGGAAAGGCTAAGGAGAGGGACCACAAGGAGGCAGCGAAGGCGATAGGGATCGACCTCTACTATCCCGCGAGGAAAGAGGGGCGAACTTCTTACCTGAAAAAAATCGAAGTTGTTTTACAGGAACTCAAATTCAAGGATCAAAGAAGCAGCGACGCGATCGAATTGCACTCATGAATGCTCGAAGGTTAGCTCGACCGATTCTTATACGAATCCGATTCATTTGGTGTTTTGTAATTTTCATCCTCCCCTTACAAGGCAAAACGAGTCTTGCATTCCCAGCTGAACATGAGTCCATGACCACTATGAACCCCATTCTTCTGTACACCGAACTTAGGGATTGAACACCCATCAATGAGAGGAGGATTTGAGCCATCTGAAATCCCATAAGGTTAACATGATTGAATTACAACTTCCTTATGTATTAGACCGTATTGGTTTGAGTATGATTAATTAGTTTGAGTATGAATGGTTTTGAAACTTGGATTCGTACAGGAATTAAGGTTTAGAGCATTTTTTGCTGAAATAAGGCAATACTTTTCCATTTATTTTCAATGTTATCATTCGTAGTTCAAACTGCACATATATTTTGTTCTCTCATATTCACTAAATTTGTCATTTATTTACACAAACAACCTTCTTTTTTTTTTTTTTTTTTTTTTTGTAACAGCAAAGTAAAAACACCGACATATAAGAGTGTATATGTACATAGAAGATTTTGGACAATGAGCACTTCAACACTGCTATAAACTTGCAGAACGTCATGAACCCCACCTTGGGGGCCTTTTTTTCCCCTAATGTGAACAGGTTTGTAAATAGTATTGTTTATTGTATACATATTTGGAACTTTCAACATATATGGTGTATACAGTTTAAAAACTCGCATAATTGAACAGGCAATTTTTACTGGTTTGTAGCATATTTTCTCTTTCTATTGGAACCCTCTCAGATTTGTACAGTATGATCAATCAAACCATGCTACTTGGCAGGGGAAAAAATGGCTACATTCTACCTTTATTCTTATATCAAATGTTGTCAAATGTCCATGTTTTACCTTCTACGGAGGAGTCACACTTTCTAAGCGATTGCAGCCTCTTATCTGTACTTGTATCACATTATCTACTCCTTCTGTGCCGTTGATGACCTCAACACATTGTCTACGCGGTGCCTGCCCATTAAAACATTTGCCAAACATGTTAGGCGCTACCCAAAATTAATTTCTTACACATATATATGACACTAATTGCGGTTAACTATTACATAACACAACGCATAAATCGATAATAGTCTATTAAAAAAATTTAAAGAAAAAATTACCAATATGAAACAAAGCTTAGTCCATATTCTTAATTTTAGAGTATACCTAACAACAAAAGTTTCCCAGATTATTCATGCTACTAATTGAACGACAAAATTTTTAATCTCCTCACCTTGTCCCACAATTCAGGGTTCAACTTCGGAGCTGAGACCTTGAAAATTTCAATTTCCAAGGCTGGCCTGCAGCCACAATTAACACAATTTATCTCCACTCCGCTCTTGTACCTCTTATAAGTTGTTACGGTCTCATCTTCACCAACCCGCTCAACCTGATCCAACAAATACATAATCGGTCTCTCACACGGCTGCAACATAATGGATCGGGTATCAAAAGTAAAAGGACCCATGCTTGAACTCCAAGTCTGAAATGTTTGCAACGCCGTTTCTAGCGTCTTAGCTGCTACCAACTTCGGATACAACAGCACCGTGTAGCCCCAAGAGACTGAAATGGACCAGTTACGCCTTAAGTCGTAACCAAAGTTATGCTGCAAGGTCCGACCCGGGTCTATTTTAGAAACCCTAATTAGCTTCTTGACCGAATCAACCCGGGTGTGGTTCGGAAATATGGACTGCACATAGTCTAAGTGGTGGAGAGACACTAGTGGGGCCAACGGGTGCGCCGCTAGCAAACCAAGCGGGCTGCCTCGTATATCAAATTGGTGGAACCCAGGCTCTTTTGTTAGCGGCACCCCGATCTCACTCAAGCAAGCTTGGATCCTTATATCTGAGCCGTAAAATTGATCATATCGATTGATGCACCCATCTAATATCTTGACGAGCTCAGACGCCAAGGGGTAACTAATAGCGAATCCTCCGCCGCCGTAGGCCATATTGTACGAATGGCCCACATTTTGGTCTACACTCTCTGATATCCCGCCTATATAATACATCTGATTGTGATCGTATCTCGCTAACACTGCAACTAAGTTTTCAGTGAAATACACCGTATCATCGTCTCCCAAGACGAACCACCTCACCTTCTCTAACCCTAACTCAAAGCTCTCTTTCACTATTCTGGCTATCCGAACTGCGGACCGGGGACCGTTCAAGCAGGAGTACTTGAACCGTGACGTGTCCTCGGAGACTCTGTACGGTGGGAGCGTCTCCGGCCATGTCATGTTGGGGTCGGGTTTTTGGTCCAGCCAAACGTACCCACGGGTGACGTTTGGTTTCCACCATAGCTCGCTGTAGTGCTGCCGGTCTTTCCATGAATTTACTGAGCCTCCGATGCCGAACAAAATGTGGGTTATATTCGTCTTTTCCTCATCGGTAATTAGGGGTTTGCGGTGTACGGAGTAATTGCCCTCAATTTTGTGGGGTACAGAGAAGTAAAAGTAGAAGATGAGGGAGACGGAAACGATGGAGCAAAGAATCAGGGGGATTATGAAGTTAACATGCTTGGGTTTGATGTTAGACAAGATTAGGGAGAGCTTGATGGGATTGTGAAAGGTTTCTAATTTTTCTCTTCTAGAACACATGTCTTTCTGAACTTTACTTCCTCCAAACCCTAAAAATATAAGAAAACTGGAGTGGAAAAGAAAGGAAGAGGAGGAAGAAGACTATGATGAGTGGGGCTCCGTAACGCAGCTACTAGTTTGTTGCATGAAGGTCTCTCACTATACGTTACGAGCTTAATTTATAATCTACCTTTTGTAAAAGAAAATAAGCTTTTTTTTTTTTATATAAGGAAGAAAATAAGAAAGCAAAAAAAAGGATTTGATTGTAACGATAGTCAACTCGTAAGCAACTTATTAAATGAGAAGTTAAAACTAACAAAAATTGTTAGGTAAGTAATCTTATCAAAAAGAAGAGAAAGGACTTAACTAAATAACTGAAATATTTATTGAGTCTAGTAAGTGTGTGAGCCAACATCACAAATGACCGGGTAGGCATGCCACCTAAGTGTGACCTTACAAGAAGTCTTGTGCTCTTAATACGCATTGAATTGCCACCCAATACTACGGTTTGGTGGTATCTCTCTTCACTTATAAGTAAGAGATCTTAGGTTCGAATCTTGTTGATGACGATTTCGATACCAAATTAGGTTGCCCATTATGTGACTTAGCCGAACTCACCCCTCGTCTTAGTATAAAATATATTGTTCTACTAAAAAAAAAAAAAAAAATAAAAAATAAAAAAAACCCCTCTGAATTTGGAAAATGTATATGTAGGTAAAGATAAGCCCAAGTCTACGGTTCATTGTGTCTTTAATAGCAAACTCCAATGGGTTCGGGCTACACAGAATTCTCAAATGCTAGATAATTTTTTTCGATATAATGATGACTGTGAGTGGCTGATCGACCAATCGTACTGTGCTTATCGACCGTATATTGACAAACGCCACTTTTCTTCATGATTTATTCCACATTGAAGAAGAAAAAAAAACCTGTGGAAGTTGGGCATTATTCTATACATGGATTGTAACAGGTAATACTCCCCATTAAAGAAGAGGCATAAGAAAGCAGGGTGTGATGCATTCCAAATATGTGTCAAATGTGAGTCAAAAAATACGTGTCCCTGATTTTAACCAATTTAAAAAGTAAATGAAAAAGATATGTATATTTTTGTGATATGGTATGGGAGAATTATATATTTGTGATATGTGATATGGTGTGTTCTCGTTTGGAAGTGCTTTCAAAATGACTAAAAGCGTTTTTTATAAAAGTGTTTTTGAAACAAATCCTTAGTAAAAATTAGGGGTACAACTAGATTGGGTCGACTTGAATCTGTCCATGCTTAACCTAATTTCAAACCCAATTGGGCGGGTTAGAATGACAAATAAAAATAAATTAAAAAATTAAAAAATTAAAAAATAAATAAATAAACCTGCCCAAACCCAATTGACCTCTACCCAATCATTTATTGAGTTGGGTTAGGTTGATGTCTTGCCCGCCCATGTCAACCCAAACCCAACTTGATTTTGAGCTCAAATTCTCTCTTGCACATATTACCCATCCCAATTATATAAATTATGTAATTTGGAATGACTATGCTTGAAGTTCATTGTTGGTTTTTGTATGGATAATGAATGATAGCATTACTTTTACGTTTCATTTGGTTGACGCATTGGTATATGTCCTGTAATTTAATTTCAACTTGCAAGCTTGAAACATTTGAAATATTTGCTAAGATGTTTGCTTCAACTTTTGTGTGGATGATGTTCAAATGAAATTTTAACTAATATTGACATTGTTTGGTTCAAAACTTAAAAAATCATGCGTGACAATGTGTTATAAGATTAAACTCGATAAAGTTTGACGAATCTAAGCCCAACCCGAATAAACCCGAACCCAAATAAAATCCGAATCGGACTAATCCCACATGAATCCGAACCCGAATGTGAAAGTTGGGTTAGGGTTGGGTTGACCATCCAACTCGCCCAACTTGTCGAAGTTGCACTAGTAAAAATGCAAGTGAATCTTGGAAAAAAACACTTGGAGTGCTTCTTGCCAAAAAACACTTAAGAGTGCTTTTGAAACTCAGAAACACTTTCACCAAATGTGCTTTCCGCCATTTTCAAATAACTTCCAAATGAGCTCATTTTTAAAGCATTTCCAAATGACTACATGTGTTGGAAGTTAAACTATAATGGCAAGAAAGTGATAAACTTCTGATATGAGACATTCTACACATTATAACCTCTCACTATTTTTTTTCGCGGTTAATTTTGTGAATTAATGCATAATTGTCAACCTCACATCTTAGCGTGAATTTTATGATCATAATATCAACTATTATTTTTCAGTTGTCATGGATTTTCCTTAATGAGTGGATGTGCAACAAATGAATATCAGTTACATTCATATCATATTCTGCATATACTAACAACAAAATTATCACATTCTGTATATACTAACAACCAAATTATGAAAAAGTAATTTTTTTTTTTAAAATGAAATTAAGAAGTTATTAGTACTACAGTCCAGTGGTATTCCTCTTTACTTGTAAGTAAGAGGTCTTAGGTTTGGTTCTAGTCGAAATGAATTTGAACCATATTATTGCTAACCCATTGTGAGACTCAACCCATGACTTCCCCTATGTCAAATCTAAATTGTGTTATTTCGCAAGGTTAAGAATGATTTCATTCAATCATATCATATCATGGTTTTTCTTGTTTTTGAAAGCATAAATGAACTTCTTGAAGTGTTCAACCTGTAAATGTTTTAGGGTGGACTGTTGGGCCTTAGAGGGCTGTGTGTGTTAATCTTACAACGGGCTACTGTACCTTAAGCTTTGCATGCACATATTCAGGCCCACAGATACTACAAATTATAGATAGTTATTAAAATACACATCTAAAAGAAATTAAATGTGTAATAATACAATATACTCAAGGATCCCCCATCTCTCAAAGTTTAACTTTCAACACAAGTCTATCCAACCCCAAAGTCCAATTTGAGATTAATGCGCTTTTTATAAAAGTGCTTATGATGTGATTTAAGTTTAATCAATTGTACAATAAAGCAAGTGATCGTTTAATAAACTATATTTCTAAAAGTAATTCGAGTGGAAACAGAAGTGTAAAAACATTTGGCAATTTTTTTTTTATTTTTTTAAACTAAGTGTTTGGTAAATTTTAATATAAAAGAGATATAATTGTATATAATGGTAAAAAAAAGGACATGGTAAGGGGTGCTGACGACGACAGCGACGGCTGTCGTTGTCGACATACTTTGATTGTGACACAAATAACCCCTCAGAGGTAACTTGATTTGTAAACACAAGGAATAATGCAGTGTCCCCAAGTCTTTCATTTCAAACTTTGTAGTAAGATCTATAATCACACTGGATATCAATTGAAAGCTACTACTAGTTAGAATTGCATCAACAACATAAAGAAGCAATACCATAGTACCTTTTGAAGAATGTTGGACAAATTAAGAGGGATCGTCTTGTGAAGCTTTGAACCCCAATCCTAGTAAAAAAAACTTGTAAATCTTTCATTTCAGGCTCTAGGAGCATGTTTAAGTCTATACAGTGACTTTTGAAGCTTACAAACATAACTGGATAGGTGGCTTAAACTTTGAAACCCTAGAGGTTGTTCCATGTATACTTCTTTTTGAAGAATTCAATGTAAAAATGCATTTTTTTACATCTAATTGCCTTAGTGGCCACTTGAACTGAGCTACTAAAGCAAGAATTAGCCCAATGATTGTAGGCTTAACCACTGGATTGAAGGCTTCCCCATAGTCTATACCTTATTCTTGGCTATAACCTTTGCCAAAAGTCTGACTTTGTACCTTGCTACAGATCCATCTACATTTTTCTATACTTTGCGCACCCATTTACATCCAACTAAGTTCTTATCAGCGGGAAGGGTAACTAGAGACCATGTATTTTGAGAATGCAACGCATCAATTTCATTCTTCATTGCATCTTGCCACTTTGGTACTTTAGATGTAGCTTTAAAGGTTTCTGGTTATGAGATAGGTAACTTGGAAGATCCAACAAGTGTAGAAAAAGCCTTTCTTATAATAATACCATTCTTGGACCTTGTTTGCTTTAGATACACATTCATTGGAATAGGAAGAACAACAATGAGTTGTTCATGTTGGAAATCAGGGTCCACATGGATGGGATGATGTGTAGATAAGTTATCAGTAGGCAATGTACTAGGAGAATGATGTATTGGTATGAATTGTTAACTATGTGAAGGTGTTCGAATAAACTCTGAGGCATTAGATGCATATGTTTCCAAAGAATATGAGGCACTAGATGCAGTCAAAGAATCTGAGGCTCTAGATGAATGGGCATTCAACGATTCTGTGAATGTAGATGAAAATGAATGATTATGAGATGAAAGGTGATAACACTTGATTATGCAATGAGATGGATGGTATTGATACAGTAGGTAATGCAGTTGTGTAAGTGTGGATGGTGATGACGTGGTAAAAATGGAACTATTTGAATATGGAAATGTTGTTTCATTAAATAGTACATGCCTAGAGACGTAGTTTTTTTAGTAACAATATCAAACATAAGAACCCTATATGTTGGCCTGTATATCCCAGAAAAACATGTTTTTGGTTTTTGGTTAAAATTTTGAAGTATTATAGGGCTTAAATAAAGGAAAGCATACACAACAAAAAATTTTGAGATGCCTAATATCAAGAACTTGATTATGTAACAACTGATAATGGGATTTCATTTTGAGAGTAGCACAAGGCATTCTATTAGTTAAATATGTTGCAGTGGCACAAACATAAAACCAGAACTGCCTAGGTAATTTTGCAGTTTGTAGCAAAGCAATGACAGTTTCTACAATGTGTATTTGCTTCCCTTTTACCAGTCCATTTTGTTTTGGGGTATATGGACATGATTTTTTTTTTTTATAACTAAAATGCCATTTTTGTAACAAGAAATGTTAAAAAAATTTGTGCTTATATATTCACCTTCACTATCACTTTGAAACACTTTCATTTTTGCAAAGAATTGAGTACATAGAAAAGCATGAAACTGAACAAATGTTGCAAAAACT